CGGGGGAGAGGGCTGGGCGGGTAGAGAAGTGCAGCAATGAATGAATGGAAATCCAAATTCTCTGTAAAAGAAAAAAATGCAATTTGTAACTCTCAAAATTGTCCTTGAGGTCAGCTGTTTGAGGATAGAATTAGTTAAGCCAAAGAAGTTGAAAGAGGTTTTAGAAAAAGCAGGTCTGTTAAAAGTAGATGTGTGTGTTAAAAATAAATTACTAAGAATAGCCTACCTTAACATTAGCTACTCCCAACAGTATGGAGAAGTAAGGCAGCTAATTTGGCCTCTCTCTGGCTCCAGTGAACCTGCTGTCTGACCTAGATGCCGTATGCATTCATAAAACTGGCGACTTCTATAGAACAGCTTGGTGCTGGAGATTAGGATGCAATCTTCAGAGCCCCTCCTCAGGAATCCGTGTGTGTGTTTGTGTGTGTGTATGTGTCTCCCCACCTCGGACACTAACCCTAGGGGGTTTTATTGGTATTTCTGTTGAGACTTTGTGAATGAACAGACATCTTTACCTCTGTTCTTGCTTGCCCTCTGGGCTTCAATTCTAATACCTAACACTGCAGCACTACTGCTTGCTGGGTACCTGGCTGGACATGACCCACATCCTGGTCTTTCTCCCTCCTGGCCATCACAACCTTTCCCAAGTTGTTACATTCATTGCAGTGTTGAGGGTGTTTTTTAATCTCTGCAGAAATGGGTCATTTTTCAAAACAGTGACAAGAGCCTGTTGGGTCTTTTTCCCTCAACATCCAGGGAGGGGAGGAAAAAAATCCTTATTGAAGGGAGGAAAAAGTCCTTATTGAAGCCAGCTGTCTCAATTTTTTCCCCGCAGTGTTGCTGGTGATTTGAAATACAGACCTTTTAGTTAGCAGCCCAGTGCTTAAATAACCTTTAAATAAATTATATCTGTGATTTCAGAACACACACACATGCATTACAATACCATCTATGTCACAATTATTTTCTGCTACTGACAGTTTTCAATTAATTTTTTATATATATACATATAAAAATACTTGTTGATTACCAACTCTTCTATATATTTTCCTAATTTTATTTAGCATTATATAATCATTCTTGACTACTTTCTTTTTGATGTGTTTTTAGAAAATAAAACTTGAACTGCTTCAGTTAAAACTACAAGTAATGGTAAGGTTATCTTCCTTATTTGCTTATTACTAACTATTAAATGTATATACAAGTATAAAGTCAGAAATACTTTAAATGTTCTTTAAAATGTCATTCTGTATGTTCATATGTCTCTAAAATACATGTTGGAAGATTTAACTGAGAACAGAGTCAGTGGGTAAAATATTCAATTGTGATCTCTGTAATTGAATTCATTAAGACAATTATGTCCTAAGACAATTAGATTCTTTTCAAATCAGAATTGTTCAGAAGTTGCCATGTGGAACCCTTAGATCCTCGCAGATGAGACAGTCTTTAGTGAATTATGTGATACTAAAACCTTACCGTGCCAGCTGTTTGATTTTCCTAAGTAGAAAGAACATTGATGTGAAAGAGGAAATTATTTTGGTGAATATCAGAGAGAAAGCTTTATTTAAATCAGAATTGAATGTTTCACTTTTTTCTAAAAATCCATTGCTGCTTTCCAGAGTTGTTTCACTGTTGTTATTCTATGCCATCAAGTCAGCTATAACTCCCAGAAACCCTAGAAACAGCAGCTCTGAACGTTGCCCTACCCTGAGCCAACCTCACTGTCTCTGCCACATCTGACCCCATTGCTACAGTCACTGTAGTAATCCATCTCATCCAGGGTCTTCTCTCCTGCACTGACCCTCTACCCTCCCATGTATGATATCCTTCTCCAAGGACTGGAACATGCCTCCTGGCACCATGCCTAAACTCTGAGATGGAATTTCAGAATCCTTGCCTCCAAGGAGCAACCTGGTTTCACTTTCTCTGGGACCAACTTGTTTTAGTAACAGTTTTATTCCTAAGTTTCACAAGGAGACTGTATTTGGTTGGGAATCTTGAGGTTAAAGCCAGCAACAATAAAGAAAGTTCATCCCAGACTAACTTAAGCATACATTTATGGTGCTTATTTGGTATTGGCACACCTGGTTTTATTGCAGATTCATTTCCAGACTCCCATAATAAAGCAAATACTGAAATAACTTGAGTCATGTGATGCTTTGGTTTCCCACTGCATAGAAAAGTCACATCTACACCATCCTACAGTGTGTGAAGGTGCACAATAGCATTGTGAACAAGTTTGAAATAGTTTAAGAATTACCATCAAGCTTGCCTCTGGAAGAAACCCTATGAACCTGGAGAAAGGATTAAAGTTATACAAGTGTTCCCATCTTTCATTCATAGGGTCGCTATGAGTCACCTATGACTCGATGGCACTTAACAACAACGACAACAACAATGACCACCAAGCGACAGAGACACAAAGGGAATACATGCTGTTGGAATAATGGTTCTCAGAGGCTTGTTCAGTGTAGTTGCCACATACTTTTGCTGTAGAAACAACACATCTCTTGCAAAGTGCAATAAAGCAAGCCATCCCTGTGTGGATAGCTGAGAAGTACTGAATTGTGCCCACTGTGTGTCTCCAGCATCATTAGGCCCAAGTGCCACTGCTTCGAGTGCCTGAGCTCCCCCCACGGCAGAGACAGTGAGGCAGCACTGCCTTGTTAGGTCTGCCCAGGATTTTGATTTCTCATCTTGGATTTCTTTCTTTGTTGTTTGCCCTCCTACTAGGATGAAGTGATCAAAGTCCGCACAGATACCAAATTAGACTTCAACCTAGAAAAGAGCAGAGTGAAAGAATTGGTATGTTCCTGTATTAAAAGTTAAAAATAGATCATGATTTCACTTCTCTTCAGAATGCAGTACTTGGTCAAGTGTAAATTTAGTTAAAAATTCACAAGTAGTGTTGAATATTTACCTATTTATTATATTGAAATACTGGTTGAAGTTCCCTTGATTTTATTAAAACTAAATTGATATTCTCGGACTTTCTTATTTATAGCTATTAATTACATTATTGTATAATTACTATATATTATTATGTAATTATTATTTTTATGTTCCATAGCTAACCCTCCAGCAGGTTTTCAGAGGCTGTATAATCAGTCACATAGGAGGAGATTACCTGTCTTTCCCCCACAGAGCAGCTGGTGGATTCGAAGCTGGTGGTTGGTAGCACAGTTCCTTACCACTAGGCCTCTATTATGTACCACTAGCTCCCTGTTATGTAATTAGTATGTGCTTGAGTTGATAAAGAAAAGTTACTTGACCTTTTGAAATTGTAATATTGCTAAATTTAATTGTGATAATACTGCCTGCAAGTTTCAAGAGCAGTATGTTTTAGGGGGTTCCATACAGATGCTATTTTAAAAATAATAGCAATGTTAAAATTTAGGCTTTTCTCTATGGATCACTCAGTACTGAATTAGTGAAGACTGAAGTGTAAAGGTGGCCAGAAAAACCAGCTCCACCCTGCCCTCTGGTGGTGATCTGATCCATAGCACTCTCCTCTTCTGAAATCCTAATGTTAAAAGACAGAGGTGAGCCTTGTTCTTTGATCTTATTTTAGGGTTTAATCCTTAATTTGGTGTTGTTAGTTTTCTCCTTCTAAGATATGCTGTATTTATATTTTATTTACACAATAGTCCTAGGGGAACACTTTATAGCTAAAACTCTTTTTTTTTTTTCAAGGCAAGAAGATTTCCCTTATGAGAATATTCATTTAGGTTATATACATCTTCACTTAAATTACAGATTGCAATTTGCTCAGTAAAACCCTAATGCCTGCCACCAAGGAGACTTACCTAATTTTAGGATGAAGAGATATGTCTGAATTTTAATCTCTGTCAACAAAACCAGTTTCTCTCATAACTCTAGATTATGACGATGCCTACATGGCTTGAGGTTTTTTTGTTTGTTCATTTTTTAAATTAAAACCAGAATGTGATAGGGCAGAGCATGATTTTATATTTAAATTATATATCTCCACAGTATTTATATAATGCTTTATATAAATGTTTTTGCCACAGAGTTATATTCTTTGAAACTATTTTTTCCATAAGCTTAAGGTTTTCCTGCCTTCTTCCTGAACCTCAAGTAGTTATCTGTTTGGTTGATAGCTACAGTGGGTAGCTCCTAAACTGAACTCTTCCCACTATTTTCACTGCTCTCAAAGCCAAGTTATACATGACTTACCCGACATTTAATTAGCCCATGAGATACTGTCACCATGAGAGGATCCTGGAGACATCCCAAAGATGGAAATAGAAAACCACAGCAGAAAGACAAGTGAGGGATGATAGAGGGAACTCACATAGAAGAGTGATGAGTGAGTGTAAGTAAGAGACCTCAAGTAACACAGCAACAGGGTAGCTGCTTTCTCCTAGATGTGAGTTTTCCAGTGTTATATGAATGCTTGCAAATCTCAAAGCCAGAACATTTAAAACTCTAGAGGAAAAGATGGAAAGGGGTAAATCAGAACCTGATTCGTGTCACCTGTTTGTTTCAGTATTCATTGAGTGAAAAGAAGCTGATGGAAATGAGGACAGAAGTAGTGGCACTGGTAAGAAATGAGACTTTGTGGTTCCTTGTCATTTATCTCCGCTTCATCCCATGGATGGCTCATAGTTTGTGTGATAATGTTGTAGGAAATTATTGTCATGGGATTTTTTTTGCCCTTAGTAAAATACTTATTATCCTAATAAAAATATAACTTAATAATTAAAGATTCTGAACATAATAGGAAATAAAGAATTTTTATTTTCATATATGGCATGCACTGATTCTTTCCCACACTGAATTGCCTGGAACTTCTGGAACTTTCAGGAGGCTTCCAAGAGGGAATTGTGACGGAGCATGGTCTCTAGGATATTTTTCTACTCATCTAGTCATTTCCTTATTCACTGCCTGAATAGGCAGCTTTAGCAAACTACTCACTTGCCCTGGGATTTATAGTGTAATGTTTCTGGTATCTAGGTACAAGTGCAATCCTACCTTCACTCTATAAAATTAGCCAAACTCACTGCCTTTGGGGGGTGCAAATGAGCAGATGCATTGTGGGCATGGCTGAGTCTGACGTCCACACACTTCATAAGGAGAACTTTCCCCGTCAGTAATATCTGTAGTGTCATACAAATAGCTTCATGGTCAGACATGCCACCCTGCGTGTTCCTGCACTTATTTCTCCCAATCATTAGGATCAGTGTTCCTTGTAAATTGACTCACAGACTTCATTCATGGTTGTAGGGTTTATTAGGGAGATAGCTTGGAGAGTAGGGGAGGCAAAAAATATTACCAGTACAAGTTCAGGCTTAACCTAACCATCCCAAACTAAATTAACAGCAAGACACAATTACTCAGTGAGTGAAAGTTCAGGTTTTAGTTCAACAGCACAAAAGCAAGAAGCCTCTGATTTCCTCAAATATCCAGCAGACTTTATCTCAGAGCAATTATAAGTCAACTTTTCCTTCAGTCATTCAAAAAGCAGAATCTTTAACTGTGGCCTTTATCTCCAGGATTCCTCTGGTTACACCTTGCAGCAGTCTCTTTATAGCAGTGGCACAGTCTCTTCACAAACTCTCCACCACAATCACTACTGTTTTTTACAGTATAGAAAGCACACACTTATATTGGCCCCACAGCTGTTGATGATTTGCAAGACCATATGTCTACAGTTAAGGTAGCTGGAGATTATGTCCCCCAACCTGGGCTAACACAGTGGCTAGAAAAGACAATTTTCAAGGGTTTTGACACTTGAGGGGATTAAGTATGTTGCTAGTTTAAGTGTATTCTATTTGGAGATGGACCTAAATTGGCCCTTGGATAAGCAAGTCTCGTAATAATTTGATGTTTTGAACGATGAGATAAGGCATCTTTAAAACTGAACAGAAATAGTGTCAAGGTAAGTGCTATAACATTAGGTGATCTTAAGCCCCATTCATTTTTTTTTCAATCCTTTTTTAGTCTACTGTATAATTTTCACTAAATGGAGTTTAAAAGTATGAGACAGTCACGGCCACCAAGAGCAAAACTGACTTAGGAAGGATGCCTTATTTGGCAAGAAATTTATGATTCACAAAAGCTCTTTAACAGAGTTAATCACATGAGCTTCTCTGAATGCCTATATGAGGACAGAGCCTATTTTATTTCCTTTTTCTAAAGAGAAGGAAACTGAGACTTAGAGAAGTTAAGAGTTCTGACTATAGTAGTATGAAAATAGTACAACTCAGACTACAATTCAGGTCTCCATTTTCTTAGCCCAGGTTTCCCTTGACTGTCCCCTGCTGAGGTGGGACCCCAGAGTTGACAAATCCCTTCATTATCATCATCATCATCGAGTTGGAACCAACTCATACCTGACCCTCGAGCAAGTTTTTGGATGCTGTAAATCACATGAGCAAAGGTTGCTCCTCTTTCTTCCGGTGAAACTTCTGGTGTATGTGAACTACCAGACAAGGGGAGCCTTTGGGTTAGCAATGCAGCTCCCTAAGGGCTACGCCACCAGAGCTCCAGGTGTTGCCAGCAGTGGTCTGACGCTGTGAATCTCTGTTTTTAAAGCATGCCCAGCAAGATCGGGCTCTTACCCAGACCGACAGGAAGATTGACACCGAGGTGGCCGGCCTCAAAACTATGCTTGAATCCCACAAGCTTGATAATATTAAATATTTAGCAGGTAAGCTTTCTTCTAACCATATACTTACAATAATAAAATATCCTGTGGAATAAATCAGTGCCAGATACTACTGTTCACTAATTTTAACATATACATACACTTCCATTTTAATATCTCTGAAATTGCCAAACAACATATAGTACATGAAGTCTTATACTTTAATTGGCATTTTTATTTGTTAGTCATGAAATAATGGTGCCGTTTACAATTAATGGAATCCCAAATTGGGTTTGTTGTTGAGTACCTTTGAGTTGGACTTGACCTATAGCTGACCTTCCAGCGGGTTTTTAGGGGCTGTAAATCTCTTGGGAGGAGAGTGCCCATCTTTCTCCCACAGAGCAGCAGGAGAATTTGAAAACCACACGCCTTTGAGTTGGCAATGCAACTCCTTTCCACTAGACCACCAACAACTTGGGTAAAATGCTGTAATTGAACTATAGTTATTTGATGTTATTCAAAATTAATACTTTATGGCTTTTGACTTTATGATTTTTTTCCCTTTAATTGGTGGCACTCCTTTTGGGGGGGCTAGAATTTAGAGTCTATATTTTTAATTAATTTTTTAAAAATTATAATTTTTTTATTATTCATTTAAGTGAAAATTCACAGAGATTTTGGATTTCCATTCATTCATTGTTGCACTTTTCTCCCCTCTCAACGCCCCCACCCCCGCAGTATACTACCCTCTTGGAAAAGTAAAAGAAAAATTCTTTCATTGTTTTATAATCCCTCCCCTCAGGTCCACTCCACTATGCAGCCTTTATTCTGGACTCCCATCATGACAAAAATACCTAATCACATATCCCTTTTAAACAGTTTTCTTTCTCATCTGTTTCAATGCAGTATACATTACTGAACCCATCTTTCTCAGTCTCCCCCCAACCCCAAGGTCAGTCCCATTCTACAACAATGGCACTATGCAGTATTTGTCCTTTTGTGACTGAGATACTTCACTCAGCATAATACCCTCTAGGGTCACCCATTTTGAATAATATTGCATGAGTTCCTTGTTTTTCAATGCAGCGTAGTATTCCATTGTGTGAATATACCACAGCTTCTCTATCCATTCGTCTGTTGATGGGCACTTAGGTTGTTTCCAACTCTGCTATTATGAACAAAGCCGCAGTAAACATGGGTGTGCATGGCGGCGCTCCTTTTAAGGAGCTATGTTAGTCTTAGAAATTTGGCAAAAGAAATGAAGATTCTCATATTTTTTAAAAAGTCTCTAATGCATCATTATTTAAAATCAAACCTAACATTTTTGGTTCATCAAGTATTTTTAAATGATGATGATGTGTAGTAGTGAAGTTCTTCTCTTTCAGTTATAGTATTTTTCTCTTGATGCTACATACCTGTCCTTTGTGAACAAAATAGTTGACAGTCTAGATTTGGGGTTCGATGGTACATAACAACCACAACTTTTTTACTGAGGAGTTTCCTCCAGTAGTTGATGTATTCAAACTTTTAAATTGATGATTTCTAGTTGAGATTTGCTTTATTTTGGGGGCAGGCATTTCATGGAATATATCACATCAGCAAGCAATCAGATTTTGTTGGTTTTTTGGTGAATGAAGATGTGTATTTTTAACAGAAGGTATTTCTTCAAGTACCTGTTGATGCAACTAATCGTACTCTCAATTCTTTTTTCTTCCCAGGGTCAGTATTTACCTGCCTAACAGTAGCATTGGGATTTTACCGCCTGTGGATATGATAAAATGTCTAGTCAATGAGAGAAGCAGGATAAAAACAAAAACAAAATGTCTATTTAAAGGCCTCTCTGTTGTTCTGCCTTAAGAACAACAAATTACCTTTTTTATTTTTAAGTTGTAACTTTTAACCCTGATTTTTATGCTTATTATTTATTTTTGTGCCTATTCTGGATATGAGACCCCACAAACACAGTAAAACTGACAGAGATCTCACACACATTCCTCTTACCTCTGTATTGAGTTGACTTCATAAGGCTGAGTGGTGGACGAGGCATCGAAGAGTCCTCTCCCTGGACCAATGAACTTCACCTGACCAGGGGTATACACAGCACTCCTGTGTGGTTCTCTAGTTATAAGTCTTCTGGCACAGAGAGGATTTGGGGTGTCTATTTAAAAGGGACAGTTGCTTTCATAAGTGCTTAAAAAACCATTCAGACTGCACCAAAAGCACCAAATCCTCTTTACTCAGTGATCCGTCCTTCGCATCTGCCAGTCCCAGTGCCATAGTCTGTAGCTCCATAGTATTGTTTCAGTGACTGGGATGTTAGTGGGACAATGATTCTTCATACACAACCAAAGTGTGATATTGTTTGTTAAGATAGAGATTTCCATTGTCTTAGTAAGACCTTGCTGCAGTTACTTTTTTAGGTCCCTTCCAGCATGAAAAACTTGTCTGGTGGAGTGTTGTAACCTGATGGAGACTTCTTTGACTCTCAGATGCTGGACTCTTCTCCTCTCTTCCATTCCTCTTCTCCCTAGCCTGAAAAGTGCTGATTCTCAGGATGTGATTCTAATTTGTGAGCCAGAATCTACTTCCTCCTGGTCCTTGTCCACTACCTATACAATGAAGGCTCTTAATTCTCTAGTGGTAAGGATGTAAAGATAGATTTATTAGAAAGCTACATCCCAAAGGATGAGATGGACCTTCCTCCTTGGAAAGAAAATAGGGAAGAGCCTTGAAACCTCTCCTCCTTTTGTAAATGTTTCTAACCTGAAGATGCCTTTGGCCATCACAGATCATGGTAGAGAACTGCTGTGCCAGTCTTGTCCTATTCCAGATAGATTCCATCTGTTGTTAAAGATGTTCTCACAGCTATCTTACATCCATATCTAAAACATATCAATTGCTAGACGTCCTGGGGTGGTTTTGGAGCTGCACATTCATCTTAGGTAAATACTGTCATGTTTGAGGACAAGCATCTTAGGAACACTGGCATGGACAGAGCCCCCCATGTGCACACATCAGGTACAGAGGACTGTCACATAAAGATTTATCTGATTGGTAGATTAAGTAGCCCATTGTCTCCTTTCAACCAATTAGTTTAAAAATTACCTTTGGAAAGTATGAACCATTGCCTATTTGTATAGTACAGAGATTCAGAATTCTGAGGCAGTGTGAATACCAAGTTTTGTTTTGATTTGTGCTATCAGTTTTAAAGGACAGCCGTCCTCATTTCATCTTTCTTAAGGATTCACACTCTCAGTTTAATGAAATTCTTTTTTGATACATTCTTCCCTTTTCAAAAAAGGGTCCACAGAAAATCCTGCATGTTTAGTAGTTAGTTGCCTTAAGTACTGGAGATTGCCAGCCCCTCTGTAGAAGAAAGAGGTGGTAGTCTGCTTCCCTAAAAGCAGACAGCCTTGGAAACCCCGCGGGGAAGTTCAGCTCTGTGCTGTCGCGTCACTGTGAGAGTCCATTGAGAGTGGCAGTGGCCTTGAATTATGCCTTAAATACTGATCTCTCAGTATGTGACTTCCAGTCAACCCACCTGTGACTGCTGGATGAAGGCGCAGCCTCATGTTATCATGGAGTTGGGGAGAGGGTACAGAACTGACAGACTCCTGTCAAGTCATGCCTCCAAACCAGGGACTTGCCAATTGGGCAAAGCTGATAGAAACTTGTTTTTTTCCACAGCAAGTGCTGAGTTGTGCATCCTGAAAACAGAAACATCTTTTTATCCCAACTATAGACACACCATGTGCACGCGTGTATGTGTGTACATTCACACCCCACAGCTGACTACTAATTCAATAAAAATGACCAGTTTATACCTGATTGCCAACCTGCTGGTGATGAGGCACGCTGCCAACCCAAAGGTACGCAGTTCAAATCCAGTAGCTGTTCATTGGGATAAAAATGAGCAGGCTCCTTTCATGTGATTTACCGTCTCTGAAAACCTACTAGAGCGTGAGCTGTTAATCAATTCTGACTCGACACATAACAAAATACATATAAATATCATTTCTTTCAATAAGAGGGGGATATCATTCTTCCACGTGGCAAAAACAGGCCCACGTGACGTTCCTACTAGAGCTGTTGGGCTGTATCATTCAGTTTTTCAATGTGGGCCTTTGATTTTGCTATAGCGTCTTTGTAGAACATTGTACACCCTTTGTTGTTGTTGTTTTTCCATGGAAACAGTAACTTTTCTTTAATGAGGGGGATCAGATACATGTGTGCATATTAGAAAGGCTCAAGACTATTCCATCAGTCAATTGTATTACATTTGCAAAATATTTGAGCCAGAAGTGCAAGTATGCCCTTCCCGTCACTGGCTCAGGCATCTGGACTAGATCTGGACCAGCGTAGCCATGCTGTAGGCCCTGTTCCAGCTGCCAGGCTTGCCTGGCTCCAAGGACTCAGATCACCCTAGAAAACTAGCCTTAGCACTGTGGGAAGGGAAGACAGGCAACAACCCGGTGTCTCACAGGTGGGACGTTAACCATACGGTGCTCCAGGCTAGGTCTGATGTACTTGGGGAGTGCTCTCAGGAGGGGCCAGTCACTGGAGAGGGACATCATGCTGATAAAAACAGAAGGCAAACAGAAAAGTGGAAGCCCCTTGACAGATTGACGTAGTAGCTGCCCCCATGAAATGGCAGGTGTAAGGATGGCACAGGACAGGCAGTGTTGTATAATGGGTTCGCTGCCAGTTGGAAATGATTCAAAAGCACCTAACCACAGATACTGGTGTGATGCTTCGTGAAGCCCATGTGAAGGGAAAGTTATTGATTGCCTAAAGAGAATAGTCGATGAACCAAGTCTTGCATTTCTTTCTCTCTCATTCTTTAGAGGCCCCCGGAAGGCCTACCGCCTCCTCTTGCCTCCCTTTCTCTCTCGTAGAGAGCCTGCACTCTGCTTTCACTTCTTTCCTACTCAGTGTAAGCAGTACATGTAAGAATGTTTGTGTGTGAACTTTTCCAGAAACATGCACTGTGCTCTCTGTGCTGGTTGTATTCTATCAACAAGACTTCTGGCTTCCTTTCTAGCGAAACTGAATCAGAATGTATTAGGTTCTTTCCACCCTTAAGGATGCAAATACCTCAGTCAAAAAAATCACAAGTGCAAGATGAAAGACTTGACTCAAACCAGAAGTCTTGTTTGGATTTGTCTTCAAGCATTGGATAACGTATTGTAAATCCTGTTTTGAGCCACAGTGAACACATCTCTTTGTGCCTGGATTTTCTATCAACATCTACACTGTGCCTTTCCCTTTGTGAAGTCCCTGCGAGTACAAACAGTTGAGATGTTGAACAGCTAACGAAAAGGTTGGAGGTTTGAGTTCACCCAGAGGCCTTTTGGAAGAAAGACTTGGCTATATATCTGAAAGAAGCTATGTGGACACCATTCTCTTCTCTGACCCATGCGAGATCACGATGAGTTCAAGTCAACAACTACTTGGGCTTTTTGTTTTGTTTCAGATTGGGTTTCCCCCCTCCCTTCTATAGCTGTAATCAGTCTCCCCTTTTATCATATCAAAAACCCAGTTTCTTTGCCTGTTTGTTAACCCCATCAGTATTGGCAAGGATTTCCCCTCCCCACACTAATGTGCTGTGTTCTGGGATTGTTGGCATTTCTTAACATCATACAGACTGATAGTACCGGGACAGAACTCATTTAGAGAACTTTGGCTTTAATAATTTTCTCAAATTTGTTGTGCCTTTTGCACACTGTAAAAATATTTGTGAAATGAAAATAATATGTATATAAAATGAGAATTTTTTTCTAATTAGGACGTTTTTGGGAAATATTTATCTTGCTACAGGTTTATAATTAGAAATACAGAAATATAATTCTTCTGATTATAACTTCTGTCATTTCTTAACCATTTTAATAAGTAAATATTTCTATTAAGTTATATAACAGAATGTGTATTATGTTTTATTATATAGTATTTCATTCTCTGTGACTAATAAAACTTTTCTAACTGAAATGGAACATGAAAAACTGGAATGACTGGTGTGATACAAGTAAATCTAGTGTCTGAAGATTGGGGTTCATATAGCAAATAAATTTGAAAGTGATTATTTGATTTACAGGATAAATTTTCATTTTCTGAGTTGTTTTTGTCCACTCTTTGAAAGGAAGATGGAAGATAGGCACACAAGTTTCTAGAACTATGAAGATTCAAAGGTCCCTGGTAGCACGGACAGTTTGCACTCAACCACTAACATGAAGGTGGTCCGTTTGAACCTACCTAGTGTCACATAGGAAGCTCTGGTGGGTTAGTGGTAAGGATTTGCATTGCCAACTCACAGGAAAGTAGTATGAATCCTCCAGCTGCTCCGCGGGAGAGATGAGCACCCTTCTCCTGAGCAGTTTACAGCCTCTGAAAATCCCCTGCGGGGTCAGCTATGAGCTGGTTCTGACTTTACGGTGCATTAACAACAGTGGCACGACAGAGGAAAGACCTGGCGATCAACTTTTGTGAAAATTAAAGCCAAGGAAACCCTGAGGAGCAGTTCTGTTCTTTAACACTTGGCATGGGGTTGCTGTAAATCAGAACTGACAGTGATGAGTTTGTTGTTTTGTTTTAAATTAAGACTTGTGCTGCAGGTGATAGAATTCCAAATCAGACTAGCTCAAGCAAAGAATTGGCTCTTTTGGCTTTTTAAGAAGGGCAAAAGATCAGGCACATTGCCCTCTCCTCTCTGCACTGATCCTCTCAGTGGTCAGTCCAGCCTCTAGCATCATGTTTGGTAATCGTAGCGTTGCACTTTGAAGGAGGAATTG